ACTGAGGTGGTGCTGACGCCTTCCGTGAGAGTGAAGGTATTCTTGGGGCATTTGCCTTGAACGTGTCATTGTCACATGAGCTTAGCTATTTAATAAATTTAGCCGGAAGGGTGATCTATCGGAGTGGTTGGTTGTTCAAGGCATCACGGATGCAGGCTGAGGATTCGGTCAACCTTGCGTACACATGTGTGTAGGAGTTGTGTTCATGCCTCCTCATAAATCAATGACGAAGACTAAGAGTGTAAGGGCAGCAGGAAAAATACGCAAGGTTGACAGACACCTGATTTGCCGATCCTTGGGGTGATGGAAGACAGACGGTCTGATCAGATCACCTGGTGCGCCACCGGTGCAAAATGACTTCTGTGGGTCTTTGGTTCAGGGATTTGCTGGTAGTCTTGTGCCGGCAAGTGTCAGGGATAGAAGTTCTCGTATGCAGCATCTCGGGTTCGGTATTCAGGATGCGGGTTTCGGTCCTTAATTTGGAGATTCCCACAGTTACCGGTGATAAACATTCCCGCTTCGGTGCCAACACCCGCTCAACCTGCAGCCCTTGCCCAGAGACTCTGGTTTCCCAACTATTGTCACTGACATTGTGCCAGGATTCTGCTGCGGACACGGTGATGACACAGGCCAGTGGAAGGTCAACGTCAGGTTCCGTGCATAATTTCAATAATCCTAAACCCTAAACCCTAAGACTGGGAAAGATGTGATTTCATGATGATGTCATCTTGTTTAAATGAACTGTTTAAGGATTTGGTGATGAGTTCGGGTCGAGGGATTCGGGAGCGTTTTGAGACTTGAGCCGAGGGGTTGATGAATGCGGCAGGTCGGGACACGAATTTGGAGTCAACGACTTGAGTAGACGCTGGGTTGAAGGCCATTTCGCTTGCGCTGTGACGGCTTGAGGATCTTTGTTTTTTGGGTATTTGCGGTTAAGGCGATGCAGAGCTTAGGGAGGGTTGGGTTTTCCCGCCTTATCTGGGCTTATTAGGTCGGCTTAGGGTTCTAGGTTCTCGGATGCAGGTCAGGCTGAGCGGAGGGATGTAGGCTTGCGGTTCACCTTAAACCCTAAACCATAAATTTAAACCCTAAACAGCGTCTTGCGGGGTAAGCCTTAGGGCACTTGTGGTTTTGTGCAGCCGCGCCATGGTAACAGGTGATTTTGAAGCCTACGTTTGCGGGTCGGGAAACAGGCAGCTATCAGAAGATACTGATCAGGATATGTTGGGGAGTGTAACAGGTAGTTGGATATTTCGGATTCTCGATGTATTGTTGAGTTTGCACATTGGGTTAAAGTTTCCATTTCCAGGGTTGCGGCGAAAATCGGTGAGGTTTCGACTGTAAGAATTGAGGGTTTAAGTTTAAGCTTCTGACAGTGACGTACGTCACAAATCGAAGGCGAGACCTTCGCAGCCAGGCTGCTTAGTAGCCTCGGCCATTGTCGAGAGTGGGGAACTTTCCGCCTCAGTCCTCGACCTCTGGGAGAAAACCATCGTCTTGGCGGATGAAGTTCATCGCTCCCATGCGGACAAGGCACCCCTGGGTGGGGGTACGGCCCTTCCGTACGGCATTCGGATGCCACGATGACAAGCTTGAGAAGGCAGCCTGCGGGCATATCATCCAGGCTTTCTTGGCGAAGGACTTCTTCAACTGTGCTCAGTGGGGTTGAACTCGATACCAGCCTGGTGTCGCCCCCTCAGCATTGGCAGAGATCTCATCACGGCAGACCCCAGCCGAACTCAAGGGGGCGGATGCAGATGGCATGACTTGTCAGGGCTAAGGGCTTAGGCTTTAAGGTAGGAATTAGGAGCCCGGAACAGTGTTTAGGAATCGCAACGGACGTACTAGACTCTAGTGCTAGATCCACCTCTGGAAAATAGCCAACCTTGAGCCCAAAGCCGTGTTTAAGTCAGACTGTTAGGCGGGGTTCCGAAACTCATTTGCGGGTTCAGGTGTGCAGAATTTCGGTTTCGGGGTGTTGGGGTTTGGTCTTCGGGTTCTAAGTTAAGTATTGAGTGGGCTGTTTTGTAGTAAGGGTCCGGGGCAAAGTAGTAGCCAAACAAAGACCAAGATGTTGATCCCTAGCCGACCACCAAGCCCTGAATCAAAAATGGGACGCCCCCTAAACACCCTAAACCACGCTTGCCGTCCTCCACCTCATAAGTGAAAGCATTAGCCCGGAAAACAGCCGCGTCTGCACTTTCAAGCTCCATAAGCCCTAATTAAACCTTAAAGCTTAAACCATGGGGGTAGGGCTTTAGTTCTGTTCAACAATGGTACCGTTGCAGGCTACCTTCTTCGACTGGGTGACACTTCCCCGGAGTCGACGCCAAGCAGGCCAGAGCATTTGTCAGACTCAGTAATAGGCTACGACCTAGGGTCAGACCCATGCTTGTAACAATTTCAAGAAATTTGAAAAACGACGATAATAACAATAGTAATAATACAGAAAATTTAGAAATAAGTTTAAGAATTAATTAATAATACAATGATCGTCGGGGTCCCTTGATTCTAATAGAGCGGGAACGAGATTGCAAAGATGCAACAGTCGGGGTTTTTGGATGTCCAGTCGGCAAAAGGGTCATAGTTCACGAATCTGCATCAGGTGAATATTATCTCCAGGATCAAACCACCGTTAAATCTGTGACTAGTGCCTGTGGCCCTGCCTTCTTGGAAGACTTCCCAGGGATGGCCTTAAGTCACTCCCGGGTTTTCCGCACGGACAGGTGATCCAGCTCCCGGTGGCGCCCGGCGTTTGTCACTCCGAGCGCGGAAGAAGAAAAGTTATACAGGGTGAGTCTTGCACATGAACGTCCTAAGCACAGACCCTACTGCACTATTATTACATCGATTTGGAGCATCCTTTGAAAACAGCCAAAAAGAGGGCCCTTATCACGGAGGCCCCACAGCACTTCTCAGCCAAAGTACAGTGCTGTTCGGCAAGTCTTGTAACTATGTGTTTTCTGTGAGCATGCTCACACAAAAAGCCGACAAATCCAAAGCTGGCCGCAACAAAAAATCAAGGCAGCCGCACGGGCATTCGCGGCCTTTCTGAAGCGGGCTCACCGAGGCTCACTGAGCGCATGCCGGGGTCCAGCTGAAGCCCGGGAGCCCTTGGTGCCCATTGTGGCGTGTTAACGCACAATGACTCCAGCATCATCTCAGCAAATTTCAAGCCAAAAGCATTAATCCAAGGTCGTAAAATGGAAGTCTGACAACCCTGGACTAGGATCTCGGCTCGAAACCATGCAGAGACCCAAAAACCTAGTCCAAGGTCGTAAAATGGAAATCTGACAACCCTGCACAGGATTTCGGCTCGAAACCATTCATTTCGACCCAAAACACTCGTCCAAGCTCGTAAAATGGAAGTTTAACGGCCCTGCGCTAGGATTTTGGCTCGAAATCGTCCATCTCAACCCCAAAACCTAGTCCAAGGTCGCAAAAGGGAAATCTGACAACCCTGGACTAGGATTTCGGATCGAAAACGAGTAATTTCGAGTCCACGGGCGTAAAATGGAAAGTTAACGACCCCGAACTAGGATTTCGGCTTGCAATCGTCCAAACCCAACAACGTAGTTCACGGTTGTAAAATGGAAATCTGACAACCCTGAACTAGGGTTTCGGCTCGAAACCATTCATTTCGACCCAAGAAGCTAGTCCGATGTCTTTCTTGTGCCAGAAAGTGCACATTACGAGTCCTGGGAGTGGAGCGCTGAAAAGATAAAAGCCGACTGCAGGGACAGGTCGCTCATGCCTAGTGCACTTTGCCGCTTGTGTATTCGCACGCTTTGTATTCCTGGCACGGCAGCATGTCGACCGACCTACCCTCGGAGTTTGCCCTAAGACTAGGAGAAGTCACTAAGGCTACACCGCATACGAGCATCCGGCAAGGATGTCCTCTCAGGTCAGCCCATACCTCTTCATAATGGTACTGACAGTTTTGTTTCACGATCTGGACACTCGACTCAGAGTCAATGGGGTGCCCACCAACACGTGGTCCGTAGAAAGGCCGATCTAGACTACGCTGACGACGCACTCCTTACTTATGGGTGTCACTTCGGAACAAACCAACGGTTTCCTTAAACCCTACATGTAGAGGCAACCCTTTGTGGAATGCTGTTGGACCGCTTGATAATACAATACACCATGTAGTCTTTTCCGCTGGATATGAGGACAGAATAAAATAAAAGTTCACCAAGTCAACGCTACAAGTGATCGAATGGGTCTTACCAGTATTCCAAGCCCACTTAGACCAGGATTCAACCAGTACCTCCAGCTACACCCCTGAATACAGCCTACAATTGGAGACTGTGCCGACGCGCTCGCTTGCTTTGTTTCAAAGACACACTACCTTCGGAAGCGCATGGCAACCGCAACAAAAACCCTAAGCCTATGACCGTTGAATCAAAGCTATGGAATCTCCACAGCCAGCTTCCGTAACCAGGGCTGTCCTCAGCTTCCCCGAATGAAAAACAGACAAGTCGATGAATGAAACAGTTCTACGGCTTGGATCTTGTAATGGAGCCCTAAGGGTCCATGTACTTACACAATGTATACTTGGCCCCTGCAGCACCTCTATGGGAACTACTTGAGGGCCAACGTCTAGACTATATGAGCATATGAGCCTTTTGGCTTACCATAGTCCCTACCTTGATCTACCAGAGCCTACTTGTGTGTCGGGTCCCGATTTTGTCGATATTAGGGTTTAGAAGAAGAACCTACGTACAGAAACCTAGGTCAGGTTATGGTAGTTCAATGTGTGAATCTGATCCCACACGTGGTTCTCCCAGCATACCGGACCTTTATACTTTGGCCCTAAAGCACCTATACAAAGGACCATTGTTTAGGGTTTAAAGTTCAGGTTCAGGCTTTACGAGTTTGGGGGTTCTGGGTTGAGGGTTTGGGGTTTGGGCCAATGGGTACTTGGACCGTGGGAGGTAGAACCCTTCTCTGTTCTCTGGTCCTTCCGATGCACCCAAAACCCTAAACACTAAACCCAGGTCTGGATGCAGCGCAGTCGCGCCATGGTGACCTTGTGAGACAACGTCACTTTGATCTTTTCAGAAGGACGAATCCTTAATTTAAGGTTTAGAGTTATGAAGTATCAAGTAGGCCTTCTTACATCCGTATCAGGACTTTGTTAATACGGGAACCTGATTAAGAAGCCCGGGGTCTTTATTAGGGTTCCTAAAATGAACCCCCATTATTTTGGGGTGATGGGCCACGGTTTCTTAATCAGGTTCCTACATTCGGGGCTTCCACCGCTCACTTTGACCATGGGTGTGTTCATCCCAGGCCCTGGCTTGAGGCTTCAGAGGCGGACCTCATAACGAAGTACTTGGGTTTGGGGTTTAGGGATAGTGAATTGGAAGGTTGTGGTATTTGGGAGATTATCGGGCAGTTGAACCGTTACGGATCTTAGGCGGAAGGCCGATGAACTCGCTAAAGTTCCAAATTGTAAGGCCCGAACCAGAAAGTACACACCTGAATTCCCATACAGAGCCGGTAAGACCGTTGACGCTGAAACTGCCTGGAAGCTGAACCCTCGACCTCTAAACCCTAAACCCTAAACCCTAAACCGATCTTTGACCTCATACGCCAGAAAGCTTAAGTCCCCTGAATTGCACCAGACAAAGAACCCAAAAGGCATGCCCTAAACCCTAAACCTGTCTTCAAGAAAGCTAAGGCTTTCTGGCCCGGAATTTACAGCAGCCTCTGCTGTTTGGCCGATTGGGATAGAGTTTAGGGTTAGACAGAGCTTCCGGTGTGAAAGGCTTTAGCAAAATTAGGGCGTTCTTGGTTTAGAGTTCGGTTTTCGGGGAGACTAGTCTCAAGGTGGGGTTGAGGGTTAAGGGGTCAGGGCGGTGGGCGCATGTTCATGTGCACCCGATTGATGAGGGATTGGGGAATGTACTTTTGGGTTTTTATCTTGCGTGGAGCTGTTTTGCCTAACGCCGGAGGGTTGCAGAGACATGAATTATGGCAAACCCTTACGCACTGTGCCTGTGCTCCCATTCCCGCTCCTTGGGGATACTCGCGCCCACAGCAGGAGAAGTGATACCAGGAGGAAGTAGAGGGACTTGCAGCAGCAGTAGCAGTAGCAGTAGCAGTAGCAGTAGCAGTAGCAGTAGCAGTAGCAGTAGCAGTAGTAGTAGCAGTAGTAGTAGTAGTAGTAGTAGTAGTAGTAGCATCAGCAGCAGTAGTAGTCGTAGCAGCAGCAGCAGCAGTACTAGTCGTAGCAGCAGCAGCAGCAGCAGCAGCAGCAGCAGCAGCAGCAGTACTAGTAGTCGCAGCAGCAGCAGCAGCAGCAGCAGTAGCAGTGGCAGGAAAAACAGCAGCAGCAGCGGCAGTAGCAGTAGCTGGTATCGCAAAAGCGGTGCAACATTGATTATGCTCACCACATTTTCACCAGGTCTGGTTGAGTTGCTGCTGCAGGCATTTAGAGGATTCGGAATTGATGTTTGCTAGAAGGGTGCCTTCTTTCGCGGGGTATTCGAAAAGGATTCGTCGGATGCCTTTGTTTGATGCAGACCCCCTCAACTCTCAACTGGAGGTCTTCCATGCTATCGGCCTTTCCTCTACAATCTTTGTCACACAAAACCGACAAACTTGACTCCAAACTCTTCGTGGTTTCTCCTTAGATGCCAAAGGCTTTCAGCTCGCAACCCACAGCTAAGGAGAACTTCCGTTGCGTGGGGTCGCGCGCGAGTACAGAAATGGGTCCAGAGTTCTGCATTCGAGCTTCTGTGCCGCAGTGCGTCGGTGTGAGGGGTGCTAGTCTGGAAGCCCTAAACCCTAAACCCCTCAACCCCAAACCCCTAATTAAACCCGAATACCCCCAAAATAACCGAAGAGTTAGTGTAATAGGAGCCCTTGGGGTTCACGTTCATTAGGCTGTAGGGTCTTAGGACTATGCCCCAAGGGTCCAAAGGAGCAAATGATTAGATTAGGTACTCGGTTTTAGGATAGTAGTTACGTAGGCTAGGATATGGGAGAGTATATGATTATTGGGTACTTGAACCCTTGGGTGTATGCCCCAAACCCTATTCCAATCATTGTACAGTAAACCTTGGGTATTGCCCCACTCTGTACCAGTGATATAATGTAGTAGTGTAACGATGTACAGTATAGAGCCTTGAGTATGACCTCCCCTTTTTACTCTGTTACAGGGTGGGGGCAGTACTCTGTGCAAAACTTGGACTGCATGAGTTGTCGGATAAGATTTAGGCCTCTAGGTTTCGGTACAGTTTGGGTGTTTGTGCACGAGCCTGGCACCGAAAAAGCACGATGCCTTGAGTGTCCAGTCTGCTTATCCTCCCGGGCATGCAGGTTTTGCAAAGACTAGGGCCTTGTAGTGTAAGGGCCTTAGTAATTAGGATAGGGTTTTGAGGCCGCTTATACTATAGTCAGAATAAGGAACCCCCCAACATGGTATAGGTATAGGTAATCATTTAGGACCCTACAATGTGTATACCTTTAACCGCCTGGCAAGTCGAACAGACGGCACCCGAGTCGGGCCAACACTAGCCAGGGGTTCGGCTTTACGACTTGGGTTTAGAGGTATCAAGAATAGCCCTAAACCCTATAAACCCTGGAATTTAACTCCTGAACCCCAAACCCTAGATCTTATAACTCCTAAACCCTATGAACCCTCGAACTTATAACTCCTGGACCCTAAACCGTAAACGGTATAGCCAGTAGTGTGGCTTCACGGGTCTCAGAGCTTGGGTTGATCGCTGGATCTATGTTTCCACTGTTTCACCCAGACCCAGGTGGAACAGCGGTTCAACTTAGTTAGTGCTGCATGGGTCGCATACTGTGATAATTAAGATGTCCAGCTATATAGCCCAAAACCGGCACTGGATGCAATATCGGATCCCCAAAACTACTTTTGGCCAAAGCTTAAGATTTACGCCATAAGCCCTGAGGGGGCACGTTGTTGGAAAGAGTGCCCAGTTCCGGCGTCCGGGTGTGGCAGAGAGTTAGGAGGTTTTACAGAATCGTGGATGTCGCAGAGTTCATCATGGTTTACCTATAGTCTCCATTGTAGTTCCTTTTAGGGGTTACCTTTTAGGATCCTTAATAAAATTGGTTAAACCAAAAAAAGGAACTACAATGGAGACTATAGGTAATATTTTCGAAGGCAGCAGATAGGTTGACGGGTGTGGTTTGCCTTGCGCTTCGCTCTGTCGGTACGACCTTGCGACCCCGAGCTACCGGAAGCTGTTTAAGCACCTCTGATTCTAGAGGCACGGTTTAGGGTTCAGGCTTTTGGATGTATGGTTTAAAGTTTAGGGTTTAAGAACACTGGCGCACGAATGTAAAGCCCTTTCAAAGCTGTAGGACTGTAGGAACAGCTCAATAAACCCTACATATAAACCAACCGGAATCCCTCCACCCCACCTGCCAAATTGTCTGCAACCCGCCATGCCAAGGATGTTCTTCGGCTGTGCACCCCTGCTGAAGCGCGGTTTCAGAACATTGCGGACCCTGACATAGTATGTACGTGCTTGTATGTGTCTATTGCTATATATATATATATATATATATGTATATATGTGTCACCTTTTATATATGTATATGTAGATAGGTAGATAGACAGATAGAGAGATAGATAGGTAGACAGAGAAAGAGATTGCGAGAAAGAGAGAGAGAGAGAGAGAGATAGAGCCGGAATAGTCAAGTCGTTAGAGAAGGACCTCGAAGATGGGGAAGTTCAATCCTGAACACGAAGCATCCTTAACTAGGTTCCTGAGTAGTACCCTTTTGCCCTTTTTGTTTCAGGGTCCTCTTAGTGAAACCGAATCGCAGGAAAAAAGGGTACCCTTATTATAAAGGGGCTACTCAGGAACGTAGTTAACATGAAAACGTGAATGTCTTTTTATTGTAGTTTAAGGGCTTTCCCCAAGGGTCCAAAAAGGACCCCATGATTAGGTACTCGGTTTTAGGAAAGTCATGATAATTGGGTACTTCTGCTGATGATATGAATCCCGCATTACCCACAATAAGGAATATACCACAATTCCCATAGTTTAGGGCCCTTCAGGTAATGCAGGAGTTATATCATCCACCGTTGGACCCTTAGGGTTTCACATCCGGCAAAGTCGGTGTTGGGATCTGGGGGGTGCTTAGGCTGTGGGGTGCGAGATTTGCGGTTCGTGTTTTTTTTGTCGGAAGTTTTAGTTTAGTATTTGGGAGTTTAATATCGAGGCCTCAATAATTACCTAGACTATTTTGAGGGGGTTCCTTACTGTAATTATAGTACACTGGGTCCCACAACCCTATTCCCATTATTAAGGCCTCCATATCAGGACCTTTGAGGTTTAACGCAGGGGTTTAGGCCTTGGGCTCTAAGCCCTAATTTTCGTGGAGCTTCAGGCCATGGCTACAGATGGCGGTGTGCAGTTCGAAGGTACATTCTAGGGTTTATAGCCCTATAGCCCTAGGCATCTAAGGGCGCATATATGAAGGCTTTTTGGGCCCAAAGAGCGTACTATATAACGCTTTTGGGCTGTTTTGATGCCCAGGGTAGGTTTATAGTCATTAAAATATGGTTTAGGGTGTAGGGTTTATAGCGACTAAGTTCTATCTCGCGACTTCGGAGCTCTATACTCTATAGCCCCTATATCCTGAAGTTAATCGGAGGTCGTCCACCCTTGCGGCCACCAGCCGTTAGGTTAAGAAGTCCTGAGGCACCAAAGCATCAGGATTAAACCCTGAGCCTTACCCCCAAATGACGTGGCTTGAGGAAAGCCAGCTCCACTCAACTGGGTCTTCACATTTCAGGGTTTAGGGCTGAGGGATTAAGGGGCTTGGGGTTTATGGTTTAGGGTTCAGGGTTACAGTATATATTGGGTTTATATAGGGTTGAGGGGTTTAGCGTTTTGTGGTTTAGGGTTCAGGATTACAGTATGTATATGGTTGAGGGGTTAAGGGGTTTAGGGTTTAGTGGTTTTGTGGTTTAGGGTTCAGGGTTACAGTGTGTATATATATATATATATACATACATATATCGGGTCTAGGGTTGAAGGTGGCATTCTGCCCAGCTGGCTGCTGACCATGCGGTCATTTTGGGGGGCTACGGGTCTTCTAGTCACCCCGAAACCCCTAAACCCTAAACCCCAAACCCTAAACATTCTAGTCAGGGCATCAGCAAGTTTTGGAAGCTGCAGGCTTATCAAACCCTACCTTTCGACTGCCAGGACCTGCTTTTTGGTAGGTTCTTAGTCTAGCTCCGAATATGGAATACTATTAAGGGCCTGCTGGTTTCCATTCAGGGGCATTGGGGGGGGGGGGGGGTCTTGGTACATCCTAACCCCTACCTTAACCCTGAATAACCTACCTTTTCAGGGTTCCTTATTCTGATTTCCTGATTTAAGTCCTTAAAAACGTAGGTTTTTCGGTGTTAAGGTAAGCCCTGCAGGCTCCCCTGTCTTCTGCAACGAAGCCCCGATCCCAGGTGGTGTTTACGAATGCTGTGTTCATCGGTGTCGAGGCAGGGAGGGTTTAGGGCGAGGTGTAGAGTTTAGGTTAGAACGGTCTAGGCTCTAGACCATAGGGCATACAGTTTAGGGCTCAAGGCGGTCATTCGGCATATCTGAATCGTCGATCCATGCGTAGGATATCGTTTTTGGTGGGCTTTTCGTTCTGGTGCACCCGAAATCCTTCCTACAGTCTCCATCGTTGTTCCTTTTTCGGCTTACCATAGAAGATCCTAAATACAAAATTGGCTGAACCAAACCATGGAACTACAATGGAGACTGCAGGTAAACCCTTGAAGCCGCCTCAACTTGTAAACCCCGCAGCCCAGGCCGTGCCTGACTGCTGTCTCCCTAGCAAGCCCGGACCCCAAACGTAAGCCAAACCCTAATCCCCTAATGCCTAAACGTTAGGTACGGCCCACTCAGTAATGGTTGAATAATATTCATAATATAGATATAGTAGGACCTTAGTAGTAGCCCTATTCTAGACTCTTACTGTATAGGGGCCGTACCTAACCTAAACGTCAGAAAGGGAAACCTCTGGGTAGACCCCCCAACTACCCTCTAATATACCCCAAATACCTACCATTAAGGGCTATTAGGGCTCCATTAAAGGGCCATTGGGGGGTCCTGGTGGGTAGGCCACTTTTGGATAGACCCTGAACCTGAAGCCCCTAACACACACAGGCGGGTGACATTTTCGGGTCGGCCTTCCTGTAGAGTTTCAGGTATACCCAGAGGCCCCAAAGTAGTTCCTTTTTGGGGTTCATATATAGAATCCTATTAGGTAATCCCAGAAATGAACTACTTTGGGGCCTATGGGTAGGGTTTATGTGCTTGGAACTTTAGTGTTTAGGGCTTGCTGCAAAGCTAGGATTGGGGCTGAGAGGCATTCCAAGTAAAGCAGCGTTCAGAAACATGCCCTAACTCGTAGTATTCAGTATTCAGCCCTGGGTCATTCAAGGTTTATTCAAGTTTGTCCTCGTGCATGATTCCGAAGATGTCAATGTGTTCCTGTACTGCAGACCCTAGCTGCAGTACCAAGCCATGCTCCCCAAGCCCCTTACACCCTACATGCGACACGAGCCCTTTGAGGGCACATTTGCCCCTCCCCCCCAGGCCTCCTTTTTAGGGTTTAGGGTTTATACTTACAGGCTTTAGGGGTTATGGTTCAGGTATACGGTTTACGGTTAAGGGGTAAGCTGAAAGCCCTAAACACTAAACCCTGAATCTAAGCCCAAAGCCCTAGATTGCTCTTCTGAGTTCTTCGCGGATTACCTTTAGAAGGGAACCAGGAAGCTGAAGTTGAGTCGAAAAGAACTCCGGGTCTTAATCTTCTACGATCCGCTAGAACCGCTATTCTCTACAATGTTACCAAGAAAGGCTGGAAATCGTGCTTTATGCAGGATTGGGTTATAGGGCACGACGATGTGATACGGAATTTGTGAGCTTTTGATGAGCAACTTATATAGCGCAACCTGCTAGAAGATGCTAGAAGAGGCATGGCGTTTTATCGATTTCAAGGCTGTTTATTCCCATAGTGTTATATGGGTTGATTAAACTACCTGATGCCTTGCATAGAACTTCTGGCTTTAGCTCAAAGCGCTGTAACACGTTGTAGCCCTCTCAAATTAAGTTCCGATGTCGTCCCTGTCAGGCTCTACAGCTCCTGATTTCTGGGGTTTTGCTGTCTCCTCCGCGGGGCTTTCTTCCATGCTCAGTGAGTGCCCAGATAACCCCAGGGGGTGATGCAGAACGTGGCTTCAAGTGGGGCTATGGCTCAGGTCTGGGTTTATACAAGCCAAGACTGTCCTGAACCCCAAACCCCTTTTGAATGCCTGCAAGGTTCAGGCGAGTATTGACGACCCTGAGCGGCGACCACTGGTATTCGATGTCGCCCAGTACACGTGCTGCGACATGCACTAAGTTTTTCTTGAGATGGATGTCGTGGTGGTAGCAGAAGTAGTCTTGGTGGTCGTCGTCACGGCAGTAGAAGTGGTAGTTGTAGTCGTAGTCGTGGTGGTGGTAGTCGTAGTGGTGCGGGTTTTCAGCAGTGGGGGTAATGGTGCGCGTTCTGGTGCTAGTTATTCTTAGCATTAGAAGTAGTAGTACTAGTAGCCACAGCAGGGTTTAACGCAGAAGCCCCAATCCCATAACCCTATCTTTGGGTCCTGTGGGTGTCTTGATCATTGATCTATCGTCCGTGCTTCACACGACAACCTTTCGGGTTGACCCTAAACCCTAAACCGCTAAACTCCCTAAACCCTAAACCCCTGAACCCTAAACCCTAAACTTATAAACTCTAAGCCCCCAAACCCTATAAACCCTATACCTAAACCCTAATCACCTAAACCCTCAATCCTTAACCCTTAAACCCTAAACGCTAAGAGTTGGCATGGAAGCCATGAAAGCACTTGGAGTCGTTTTCTGGCTCTGAGCTTCAAGGTTATACGGGTTTGGGTGAGGCTTTGGGGCGTTAGAGTTCAGATTAGGGTTTTAGGGTTTCGAGGTTTAGGGTTTTAAGGTTTTGGGTTTAGGGTGTTAAGGCGCAGGGTTCAGGATTTCAAGGTTTAGGGCTTTAATTGGGTTTGAAGGTTTAGGGCTTCTAGGGCTTAGCTGCCCGGTTCTGAAACGAAAACTCTGTCAATACTGCTTGTTACTCAATTGGCGCTACTTTCTTTCACTTTCGCTTCCTTCTACGTCTAGCACGCTTTTTGCCTATGAGCATAAAGTTGCATACTATTGCTTCTACTTCTACTCTACTACTACTCCTACTCCTACTCCTACTCCTACTCCTACTCCTGCTACTACTACTACTACTACTACTACTACTACTACTACTACCAGTTCTACTGCTACTAGTACCAGTTGCATTGAACGTGTCCCTTTTACCAGGTTCACTTTCCTGTGCCTTGGCGATGAGGGGTGACGAGGAGCTCCAAAGACTGCTTCCTTTAAGGGTTCCGGTTAAGGGTACCTTTAAATAAGGGGTGCTGTTTTTAGGGTTTAGGATATTAGGGCTTAGGGTTCAGGGTTTAGGGTCTTGGGGTTTAGGCTTTAGTGTTCTGATAAGGGTTTCTATATGGGTCCCAGAACGGTTTTGGCGGTATACGTCCTAGAGAGCCCAGCAGATTTTGTCGAGGATTGCACCTACCGCAATTTCAGGATTTAGTACTCAGGCGTAGAGTATGTTCCCAAACTTGAGGATATTTTGGGCTCTTCGGGGACAACATAGACAGAGGTCGGAAGAATAAAGTAAGCCTTTCCCTTCATTACCACAACACCATCCCTGTATTCTTAAAGTACAGGATGTCGCATGACCCTGTCCCAGTTTGCAGGGGCCCTGTATTCAGCCCTCCGCGGCCACCAGCGAAGTATTTTGCCAACATGTTAAGTTCGGTCCTGCGCTTCGGTACATTGCTTTCCCAGGGTTTAGGGTTTAGGGCACGGCGGCCTTTCTTGTTTGAGAGCTTGACTGCTTTCCCTGAGAGTTCATGCGCCGATGTAATGAAAAATGTAGCCTGCATGGGTTCGTATACAGGTACTTTAAATCGAGCTCGGTACGTGGACCCAACAAAGTCCAACCGACCTCCCTGAATAAAACGGTTGATGACATAAATCCTGCAGGATTTATATCATCAACCGTACTTGGGCTTCGGACCTCCAGATCCTAATTGCTGCCAGCGATGTCTTCTTGCAGGGTCTAGGGGTTTTGGGTTCTGAAGCCTAAGCCATAAACCCTAAACATTGTTTAGGGTTTGGGGGTGGCATTGCAAAGTCGGGCTCTTGCCCACTCCTCAAGCACCAAGAAGTCCAAAGGGTTTCATACATATATAGGGGGTTATAAGGTTGAAGGTGACTTGGGCATTCGACGGTTCCAGAGTTCCTGAGGGCCGAAGCAAACCGTCCTAGGATTCGAGGTCCGAGACCCAAATCTTTAAACCTAGTCTCAAACCCGGGCCTCTTCCCCAAAAAATATTTCTAAACCCTTATGAGCCCTAAAACCCCTAGATCCTAAGCCCTAAACCCGGCGTGGGGTGGTTCTTCTTGCACGAGGTTTGTTTTGGAGCTGGTTTTGCGGCTGGTCTCGTCTGGCTGGCGAAAGATGTTCTGCACGGACCGATTCAGTGCTTGTAGGGTTTAGGCTTAGGGTCCAGGGCTTGGGTTTTCATTGTTTTATTCAGGCATTTGCCAGGCTTCCTTCAGGTCTCGCAAGTTGTAGTGTTACTATAATTATGTTCGCCTCCCACCGTATTCATTGAAGGTATTTGTCCCCAAACCGTGTGGCAGCACTTTCTTCTTGCGCTCCGTCACCACAAGGTGCGGCGTGTTAACCCGAGCTTGCGTTCTCCGCCCGTCCAGGAGCCCGAACCGAGATACCCCAAAACTACTAAACTTGACTGGTCAAGGAATAAGCCTTCTAGGATGCCCAGTAGTACCCTTATTCCCTTTTTGTAGTCCTAGGTTCCTTATAAAGTTACCCAATACCAAAAAGAGAAGCCTTTTTATTCTTAGGTTACTGGATATCCTAGAATAAGCCTTGCATGATGATAGGAACCCCAAGATGAGAAAACGTCCCTTCCACAGGTGCTTTGGGGACACTTACAAGCCTTGTAGTACCCGGTCTAAAAAGAACTGAACCCCAAACTTATGTCAATGTCTAGCACACTCTTAAGTCCTATTTATGTCCTATTTTCTCCTATTTCTGGAAGTCCTGGTTTCTCCAGACTTAGCACTCCTGAGATTCACGTAACCCTAAACCTTAAAACCTTTCGTCAGAGCAGCGGTCGAAAAGGGGCATGCTAAACTAAAATACTATGGGGGTCCGAACAAGTACCGTTAATTTCCTATACTATATTATGTTTTTTGGGGGTCATTATCATACTTCTGGTCCAATGGCCCCCCAAACCCGTTTCAAACTACTAAGGCCCCCTAAATTAATTCAGGGGTTTTGGAAAATCTGGGAATTCATTGCGAATTTCCAAGATCGCCTGAAGTGTCTAAGTCTCACGAAAGCTTTAACCCTAAACCCCTAAACCCAACTGGCCCCCGGGAAAAAGGAGCTCAACAAAAAGCAACGAAACCCAACATCTTTGAACCCTAGACCGGTACCCCCGTGTCTTCGTATCTGGAAGCTGCTACAGGTCTCTGTTGCTACTATTTGCTTAAGAACCCCCCAAAAAATAAAAAATGATAATCCCCATATTATCCCTATAAGGAATATATTTTTTATTTTTGGTGGTTCTTAAGCAAATAGTAGGTTGTGGTGTCCATCTCAGGTGCTGGTTCATTTAGGGTTTAGGGTTGAGGGCTTTGGGTTTAGGGTTTCAGGGCTGATTCGGAGGCTTCCGAGAGGATTGCCGCAACTACCGCAAGCGCTTGCAGGAAGTTTGGTACTGGAGCGTCCTTGATGTCGTCATCATCATCAGCTCCCTCTGGGAGATCGCCGCAGAGACCAGGCTGCAGTCAGTCCTTTAGAAGATTTAAAGGAGACAAGATGGGAGTTTCCAAAATTAGGGGTACCTTCTTTTGGGGTCCTTATAATAAGGATCCTACTATTTAGAGTACTAGATTAGGGGCCCTTATTTTCGGAAACTCCCAGATACCCCGAGTTTTAGATGCCTAGAACCAGAAGATGCTCAGAGGAAATAACTTAGGAAGGGTCTCGTTGTGTTAGGGTTCATGGTTTAGAGAGGGCTGAGTGTTTAGGGCTTAGGCAGAGCTTCGGGTTCAGGGTAAAATCGTGGTGGTGGAGCAGCACAGTCCGCCTACAAGCCCAAAAAGCGACAACAGCCAGAGCAGCGCACATCAGAACGGCAAGAATGGGAGTAGCTATAGTACACATGTAGGCCTAGACCACTACACAAATCGCACTCGCACGGCCCATGGCCCCTAAACCGTAGCGCAACCGCAATAAGTACTGCAGCAGGTCGTGGAGGTGTCGACATCGCAGCGCGCCAACTCAATTCCGAACCAAAAACTGTCTTAAGCCTAGAGCTCGCGCATTAACTCAATTCCGAACCAAAAACTGTCTTAAGCCTAGTGCTCGCGCATTCTGAGGCTTTGCAGACTGACGTGGATGCCGTTGGTGGAGTGTCCAGCCTCAAGGCATTCCGAATTATCAGGCGCCTTGCGGGCTGTGCGACGGTTGATGATATAAATCCTGCATTACCCATAATAAGGAATACACCATAATTCCCATAGCTTAGGGTCCTTAAGGTGATGCAGGATTTATATCATCAACAGGAGTAGCGAGTCTCGGAGGCTTCCAAAGGTGGGATGAAGGTAGGTAGGATTAAGGATCCCTTACATAAGGACTCTTACAGTATTTGGGAATATCCCAACTACCTTCATCCCACCTTTTGAGGCCTCCGAGAGTAGGTCTGTCGTGGTTCGAAGCTCTGCGAACCCTAAACCTCCAAGCCCTGCGTGTGTTGGAAGTCGTGTTTAGGGCTTGCTGGCGCCCTGGAATTAACACCCTTATGAAGAGCCTTAATAATGATTCGGATTCTCGTAGTAATCCTTGAAGGGAGGGGGTCGCTTAGTCGGTGTTCTACGACACCCTATCCGGCCCCACCTACAGGGTTGGGGATGCGGAGACTGGGAGCCCGAAGCACATTCACATGCATCCCTCCCGGCATGTCCGCAACTCGAGTTCCACAAAATTCGTGAATCTGATGCAGGCTCGAAACCTCGGGTCCTAAACCCTGAACCGTAAACACTAATGGAAGAGCACCTGAAAGTTGACGAGCCGCACCAATTTCGAGCCTTGTGCCACAAATTGCGTGGCTAAGTTGCTCTCTTCTGAGTTCAGTTGTGGTGTAGGGTCTCCTAAACCCCGAGCCCTTTCAAATCCTAAGCCGCAAGGACAGGGTTTGGGTCCTGAGCCTTCAGCCTTGCTCAGCTGATACTTCCTCTACGCCCATGCCCTATGAAGAGCAGCATTAGGGGTCGAGAGGCGCCTTATCATCACCCTAAACCCTGAACCCTTAGTTCCGGAGACCGATCTCCTCGATCCGGACACTAGCTAAACTTTCTGAGCAGTCTTGATGTGGTAGTTTCCGAAAATTAGGAGTACTTTTTGGGTTCATTATACTAAGGATCCTACTGTCTAGTATGCTATATTAGGGTCCCCTATTTTCGGAAACCCCCATTTCTCAACACACTCAACGCTGAACCCACAAGCCCGAGTCGCTGAAAAGCAACGCTAAGGAGCAACTGACCCTTAAAGATATGGGTGGTTGTCAAAATTAGGGTTCCTTTTTGGATCCCTATGATAATACGGCACCTAATATTTAGGGTACCGACAAAGGGACCATAATTTTAACGCTACGCCGCCCGCCTCGGCTGTTTAGTGGCAGGGCGAGGGGGCAGTCGATGTTGTAAACATGCTAGGGGGGCCTCTCAACCCCAACCTTTACACGGTTGTTGAACCCAAGTGCGAGGAAAACGGGGGGCAAGGGGGGGGTGGAGGGGGGGGAGGGGGGAGGGGGGGGAGGGGAGGGGATGGGGAGGGGTGGAGGGGCCCTGGGAAGGGGGGGGGAGGCCGACAAATTGGCAAACGAACGCAACAACAGGGTGTCTCCAAACATTTGGACTGCAGGGAGGAGGATTAGGTGGAGGGTACCTGAGGTCACCATCAAGACGCCTGGGCCTGTGGCCTCGGCGGATTTTGACAACCACCCATATGTTGCTCTATGCTGCTCTACATCTTATACTACTCTAAACCATAAACCCTTCTAGGGTTGATTACCTTCATAAGGAAGAGAGCCTTAAACCAGGCTCACGCGGACGCTGCGAACTGTGCAATTTGTGCGCATATTTCGCTTCGTCGTTGCTTTGCGAACGCTTCTGCCGCCGGTCAAGAGTTCAGTACCTGTTGGACCATGCAATGAACCCCAGCAAGGGCTGGTGGAATAAGATCTTAAATAGGGTTGATGGTATAAGAATGTGCAAAGTGCAGAGCCATCTACTTTTGGAGTGCATTTGGTCCTTGAGGAACACTGTAGGCACTTAGGCCACTTGTTGATATATGTGGCCATTTTCCTGTTGGCCTTATGGAATCCGTGTTCGGATGTTTGTTTATGTTTAGTCTTTGAGCTGGACAGTGCGCCCATAGTGCCTTGCAAAGGATGTCATTGGTTGCTGGATCAAGTGTTCTAGGCTGTATAAGGCTTAGTACAGAAGGCTGAATGAATGTTAGCAAATGCGATTCCCTTGGGTTCCTTGCAATTAGCATACTATACCATCTCCATTTATGTTGGTTCATTAGCATCTCAGACTGCTTCGGGTGTAGGATTTAACGCTAGTGAAGGGCGTTTTAGATTCATGGGTGAAGGGTTTAGGAGTTCGGTGTTTTCGGGGTTCATGGGTTAAGCACTTCTCGTTATCGTGCAATTTTCGCTAAGGACTAGTGCAGGCATGTTGCGAGGCTTTTTTTCCTTGGGTTTGAAGATTCTAGACTGAACTGGGCAGTGAAATTCTTGAGACGCAGCCCCTGACGGTACATTTCACGTCCGAAAACATGCAGCCCAAACCATCAACACCGTAAAGCTGTAGCAGAAGCTTGAACTTGAAAGCAGCAATTGATTTGACCTTCTTTCAGTTTGCTTGGCAGGCCTGTGCTGTGTAAGTACTTCGTATGGTGGTAGCATCGTGTACCAGGCATGGTAGTGCAAACACTAGACACAAACAGTTCATGCACACGTAATTAAGCATGCGTGTATGTGTAAACTTAGGAATGCACACGCTTGTGTATCCATGTGTATAGGCATGTACGTATGCGTACATGCATACCATAAGAGTAAGGCTGCACGCCTTATGTAGAACCCTTACAGGAACCCTAAACCCTAAACTTTAAGAACCCTGACTTTACTCTTTCAGAGAATCCTTTAAAGGAACCCCCAAACCCAGGAAGTCCAACCACGACTCATGTATAGGAACCCTCAAAGGAGCCCCTAAAGGAACGCACAAAGGATCCGCATAAACAACTATAGATCCCTTAAGGGAACTCCCTAAATCCTAAACCCCTACACTTCTTAACACAGGAAGTCCATCGCCTACACCTTGAAAGCTTTGACTTGGGCGTTGCTGCTGTTGGCCTTGATCATCTACGTGTCCGCGGCTCAGGTAGGCATTATAGGGTACCTCTAACAAGCTTAGTAGGTGAGTAGGTAACCTTTAACCTTTTGGGGTTCATATAATCCTACCATACTTGAATAGGGTAACCCTTTTTGGGTAAGGGTTCTCAGCCCCTAATAAGGATTTGCAGCCTGCAGCGTCTAGGCTTGGGATTTCAGGATTTAGGGTGTTACGGCTAAGTTTAGGGCTTTGTAGGGTTTACGGTTCCTTAAGGAGTTCCATAAAATTCCTGCAGCGATGTTCCTAAGGCTTCGTTGAAGGGTTTCTTTCAAGGTTTCCAGTTTGTAAGGGTTTCTGCACGGCACGAAGTGAACCAGCGTTTAGGGGTTTCCGGTTCAGGGTGTAGGGGAAAGTGGGCCTTAGGGCTTTAGTTTTCGGTGGTAATTTTTATGGAATGCAGGAGTTAAGTATCGGTTGTACGGATACTGTTGCCGCGCTGCCCTAAGTTCATATCAACCCCCCATGTCCCTAGGGCTAAACCCTATTCTATACCACACCTACACCCCAGATGCCGTGAGCTCTGGCCCTAAAGGAAACAACTCTCACATTTTCTCAATGGAGGCCGTGTGTGGTCCAAGAGCCTCAAGGCCTGATAGTGACTTACTGCCCAAATTACGTGTAGGGGTCTGATGATGTTGGAAGGGTTCTCAAAGTCCTTATTCACACTATGTGCTTGCACCATAAGTATACCCTAAACCCTAAACCCCCAAACCCTGAACCCTAAACCCCTAAACCCCCAAAACCATATTCTGACCCGTCAGGCCCTCCTATAAAAGCACCTTCCAGCAGACTATGCCGCAGAACACAGGCTCCCAGTAGATAGTATATACTTAGGCCTTTAAGTCCCCATATAGGTACTCCTTGAAGGACTAAGTATACACTATATGGGTACATGGAGCCTTGAGGTATGCTGGGGAATGCTGATCCCCAGACATCATCCTACGCGTTTATCCCTTCCGTAGGCTTGACCCCTTCCATCCTATACTGCGAACGAGCCTAAACTGTGTTCCTGTTCTGGATTGAATTCAACTTGTTAGATTTACTACTTTGTCATTCACGGTCATCAGCAGTAGGTCAGATTCCTTAGTAAGAGACACAATAAATACCAATCTCACGAATACCAAACATGAAGGAAACAAGACAACTTCTCAAGAAGAAGCAGAGGCTCTAGTCTTTGTGCACCCTACACCCTCAACCTTAAGCCTGAGCTCTAAACCCTAAACCCCACTGCCCCTAAACCCTAAACCTTAAACCCCTAAACCCAAAACCCCTAAACCCTAAACCCCGAAACCTCACTACCCCTAAACCCTAAACCCGCTTAGCCCTTTTTCGCCCAGGTTCGCGGTGATGTTCAGCCAAGCCGTCAATGACTACCTGGCGGATCCGGACAGCCCGCCGCTCCCAGAGCGGGAGCAGCTTGGAAGAGATCTGGGTGGTTGTTTAGAGTTTGTTTGTCCTTAAAATAACACGGCACCTATTATTTAGGGTAGCCAGAAAGGGACCCTAATTTTGACAACCACCCATCAGTATTATCTTCCAGAATCCCTTAGATAAGGATTATACAGTATGGGTTCCTCAAAGGGATCTATAATGGTTCTATATAGTTACGCATAGTCTCTAGTTTAGTTGCTTTTTTTGTTAGCGAATTTTTTAGTATAGGAACCTAGCCATAGAACTTGTTATCCAAAATTAAGGAGGAACTACAGTGGAAACTATTGGTATGTTTTCTATGTTGAATGTTGACTTCGCATGGCTTCGGGTCCGTTGTAGTTGGGCCTTGCACGGCAACCCTGAGACCCTAAACTCAAAGGGGAAAAGGAGGGACCCTTACTGGAGACCCCTACCCTATCATGGGCTATAGAATGGGTATATAATAGCTATATTAAGGGTATATAATGGTATATATTTAGGGGTCCTTATTACGGGCTCCTCCTTTTTTCCCTTGGATAAACTCTCCTGCGCCTGCAGGGTGCGGGACTGAGGCTGATCGGTGCTTTCCTGAGCCAGAAGCACAAGATGCCAAAGACTAAGGTTTTCTAGGACCCAGAGTAGGCCCTTATTCCCTTTTTTCCGAGTTTAGGTTCCCTTATAACACTCTTTCAACCAAAAAGGGCACCCTTTTTATTCCTAGGTTACTCTTAGGTCTAGTTTTGGGTATACTTTACCTATAGTCTCCATTGTAGTTCCTTTTTGGGTTTAACAAATTCTCTATTAAGGTTCCTAAAAGGTAACCCCCAAAAAGGAACTACAATGGAGACTATAGGTAGGATCTAGAATAGGTATGCAGGGAGCATTTTCAAGGGGATACTATTATCCACTGCAAGCCAGGCGGATTCAGGATTTTTGAGTGCATGCTTCTGAACGAGATTGTTGTTCTTTTGTGCTTTCCAGGACCTGGACCCCGAAAAGAAACACTAATCCTAGTGAGCCCCTTGAAGCCTTGGACATTCAGTATACCTAAGCCCGAAAAAGGTATCTTCGGGGCTGGCCATAAAGGACTACGGTACGCAGATCCAACGATATGTGCGCCAGTCTTGCTCCTTTTTCTCTAGTCCGTGTCCGTGTGGGTTGCTTGATGATCCATCTGGGTGGTTGTCAAAATTATGGTCCCTTTTGGGGTCCCTATTATACTACGGCACCACCCATCTCCTGGTCCCATCTTTTGTCCTGGGGTCCGGGAGTCTGCAGCTCGAAGGTCCTATTTTGCCTGCGCCTGTGTATCTAGCCTCTGGGTCCGGTTTAGGGTTTAGGGTTCGGGGTTTAGGGTTTAGGGTTCACCGAACCCTAAACCCCTAAACCCTAAGCCCTTAAACCCTACATCCTAATCAGCCCTTAATCCTGAAACCCCAAGCCCTACACCACCCTACAGCCTAAATCCGTGAAGCTCTTAGACCATTAAGCTCCTGAGGCACGAAGCGTGTCTTCTTTACTTTGGCTCCCTTCGGGCGACGCTGCTCCTGATAGCTTGGGTTCTTGTTAACGAGTTTCATGGACCAGCGTTTGATACGGAGAGCCTTTTGCATGATACGATATTTGCTCTATCTATCTTTCTACCTACCCACCTACCTGCCTACCATACTAGCTATGTATCTTGCCGTCTATGTACCTATCCAACTAACCCACCTGTCGACCTCCCTGTTCTGATAAATTGAACCATGAACGAACTTATTGAACGTTCTTTCCTAGGATGCCCAGTAGTACCCTTATTCCTTTTTTGTAGTCCTAGGTTCCTTATAAAGTTACCCAATACCAAAAAGAGAGGCCTTTTTTTTCTTAGGTTACTGGGTATCCTAGTATAACATTTAGTCAGCTTGACGGGCTTGCACTCAATGCTTCTTGAGACATGTTGATAAAGCACATCCGGTCGGTTTAAGAAGTTGTGTAAAGAAGCAAGAGTGCACATCTCTTTGACAAGAGTCTGTTTGCTAGAGATAAAAGAGGTTCTCCTAAACGAGAATTCTGTCAGACACACTGTATACTGTAAAAGAGCTTGGCGTGCCCGGTTTCGCATAGTTTGACATTTGTGGGCTTGTATGTACACTTCTGTATGCATGCATGTATGATTGTGCCTTCATGTACTGTATGCATGTACGTATGTATGTATGCATGCATGTATGTATGCGTACATGTAGAGTACTTATGTAAGTAAGTAAGTATGCATGTATGTATGTATGTATGTACGTAGGTATGTATGTATGTATGTATGTATGTTTTTTTTGCGTATGTATGTATGTATGTATGTATGTATGTATGTATGTACGTATGTATGTATGTATGTATGTATGTATGTAGTGTATGTATGTATATATGTATTTACGTGTTTTGCGTATGTGTGTATGTATGTATGCGTGTAGGTATGTACGCCTGTACAGTATGTATCCATGTATGTGTGCATGTATGTATATATGCATGTACAGTATGCATCTGTGTATGTAAGTAAGTATGTATGTATGCACGTATGTGCGTATGAGTGTTTGTATGCATTTATGCTGGGCAAGTTGAGGTAAGCCCCTAAACCCTAGGCCGCTAAGCCCAATATGCAAGATGGGGACGTTAGTTAACTTAGTTAGTTACTTTATATCCACAGTAACAGGGGCATTCCTTAACATAAACAAATATAGTATACGATATAGTACCTTTATAGATCCCTTACAGTAGCCCTTGCAGACCCCTTTAAAGGAACCCTATTCTAAGCATTAAGGACGATGACAAGCCTCTTCATGAGCATCGCGGGCGGAACGAACTGGGAAGAACTGGTCTTCCCCCTCGAGCTGATATCTCCCGTCTCTGGGTTTCAGTTAGGATTAGGGTTTAGGTTAGAGGGTTTAGGGCTTTAGGGGCCTAAGGGTTCGACTAGGGCTGAGTCGTTTGATTTCAGGTTTAGGGCGTGTAAGTGGAATTAAGTGTTGGTTTCAACTCGGTCTCCTAGGGGTTGTACGTTTGATAGTTTATATTACAACCGTTTTCACCAAACCCTATTTCTGTTCGAAGTATCAAGGTCCCTCTATGTCAGTTCTGGTGTACAGTGTTTTGAGGGGGACTGGTTCTTCACACTGGAGGAAGATTGCAAGAAAAAGTTTAAACTCGTTCTCCCTGGCCCCTAAACCTCAAAGCCAGGCCAAGGTCTGGGTCAAAGCCCCTTTAAACCCTCATATAGGGATCTGAATAATTACCTATACTCTTTTGGGGCGTCCTTGTTATATTTATAGTATGATGGGCTCCAAAACCCTATCCTACTCATGAAGGCCCCTACATTAAACCCTCACTTCTAAGCCCAGGGCTGGCGCTAAACCCCTACACCATCAACCCCTACCAGGACCCGCAAGTACCCCTCAATAGAGCACTTATGGTAATTAGTATTCGGTATTTGAGGCACAATGGGGGTAGTTGACCCTAATCACACCCGAAACCATCAACCCCTAAACCCAATATTTTAGGTCTGGACTGTGACTGTGACCTTCCCTAAGCCCTAGAAACCATCCCTAAACCCGAACCCCTGAAGGCCCTACCCAGAGGCCCCAAAGTAGTTCCTTTTTGGGACTACCTTATAAAATTCTATATATGAACCCCAAAAAGGAACTACTATGGGGCCTCTGGGTAAAGCCCAGGTCTGGACCGTGATCTTTCTCTTTTACATCTCGTTCACGTACTTCGCTGACTCTGGGCTGCCAGTGGTAAGTGGGGTTCAGGGTGTAGGGTACAGGGTTTAGGGTTAGGGTTTAGGGTTCAGGGTTTAGGGTTTAGGATGGTTTAGGGTTCAGGGGTTTAGGGTTCAGGGATCAGGGTTTAGGGGTATGCCCAGGAGCGGCATGGCACCGACTGGTGCATGCAGCCCCAAGGCTCCATGCAATGTACCTATGCCTATATAGTATATGCTTATAGGCCTTTACGTACTTATATAGGTACCCCTTTATGGCCTAAGTATATGGGTATAAGGAGTTTTAGGGTGCATGCAAGTTAACACTTCGTCACTGCTAGTTGCTGAGTCCGAGGTTGCAACATGCGTAGTGGCTGTGATCCGTACTGTACGACTTTGACTTGGCGTTGGACGTCAAGGTGCATGTCATACCTAGACCCTCCATCTAACCCAACCTCCAGTATACCTGAAAACCCATTATTAGAGTCCGTAGATACCACAGTTAAAGCACACTGCACATGACATAATTATATAGGGCCTCAATACTTACCTATACTATTTTGGGGTTCCTTCTTATGATTATAGTACAATGGGCCCCAAAACTCAGTTCTAATTACAAAGGCCCCTATATCATAGTACCCTTATAGAACCCTTTAGAGGAACCCTATTCTAATCATAACCCTGAGATGGACGGAGCAGCTGAGGTCCTCAATGCCTTCTGCCTGCAACTGGGAGTCTAGCAGCCCAATTCCTAAAACCCCATCTGGGAGTTTCCGCAAAATAGGGGTACCTTATTCTGGGGTCCTTATGATAAGGATCCTACGTTTTAGGATACTATGTTAGGGTCCCCTGTTTTCGGGAACCCCCATCTTATCCTACCATAACCCAGTGGTCTGCATAGCCTTATTGTCAACCTTAATACAGGCGGAATGAAGTGAACCTTAAGCCCCATGCTGACTTCGACTCTTGGATGGCTGTCCGACTTGTCTGAAAGCTCTAGGCGACTCTCATCTTGCTCGTTTGTGCGCTGCTTCCTGGTCTTCGGATCGTCGCTAACCATCCCTTTGCTAAGTTTTTTTCGAAGTCTTCCAGTTACACCGCATGTGTCGAGCTTCCTGTTTGAAAGTCCTCCGCTGTGGTGCTAAACCCTAAACCCTAAACCGCCATGCAGTTTGCAGAATAGAGGGCAGAGAGCAGCAGTTTGGGGGGCGGCCCTGTTTTTTCGTAGGTTATTGGGCATCCTAGCACTTGTATCTGGCACCCTTGTCGTGAGCTGGGCACTTGCTTACCTTTGGTTAGTAGGGAATTGAAGAGTGATAGTAGTAGTAGTAGTTGTAGTTGTACCCCATGCCTCCATTCCCTACTAACCAAAGGTAAGCTTGGGAGCATGTAGCGTGGCTTTGTCTTTGCGGGCCGGGCTCTTTTGCCTTCGGCCTCGCTTGGCGCTTTCTGCCAGGTAAGGTTGGCTTTGTCATAGTTTGGTAACAGTTTACATGTTTACGGTTACTTACTTAAACCCAATAAGGAATAAACCTGTACATATTAATCCTATCCCAACAATGATCTAGTTGGGTTGTCAAAGGCCAACAGGTTGACTATGATGCTCTGCATCGTTGGTTGTTCATGGTCCAAGAAAAGCTCTGCTTGGAGGGGCAGGGGACTTAGTAAGTAGGTTATAAGTAGGGTTATAATTGGGGTAACTCCTTTTAGGGTACTTATAACTCTACTTACAACCTACTTACCAAGTCCCCTGCCCTTCCAAGCAAGAAAAGCTCTGCGCAACTTGTCATCCCACGTGAAGTGTTTGCCGCTTCTCTTTCCTCTTGGTCTGACTTGCTTGGTTGACTTTCCTTACCCTTGGTTAGTACGGAACGGAAAGGGGCCTGATATAGGGGTCTATAAGGGTTACTATAAGGGATCTATGAGGGTACTATAATACAGGGGCCTTAATCATCCCCTTTCTTGCCTTTGGTTAGTATACGGGAATGGAAGAATGGTAGTAATAGTAGATATAATTATAGTTGTATCCCATTCCTCCATTCCCTACTAACCAAAGTTAAGTTTCTTGCTTGGTTGCGCTGGCTCCAAGTGCGCCGCGCTTGTGCCTTGCCGGTTTCGGGGTACTGGCATCTACAAAATTTTATATGGCCCAGGTGGTTACGGGCTCCTTCTGCCAGGGCGCAACTGGGCCGCTTTTGGAAACAGTCGTTTAGACTTCGGTATAGTCTTTTTGTTTGAGATAGAACACAACTAGAAGTTTGTTTTCCTGCTTTAGGTATATGTATGTATATATGTATGTATCTGCACATACATGCATGCATGCATACATGCATACATATGCGGCAGGCTATACCAAAGCCACGTTTTCTCTAAAGAGTCTGTGAGAAGAGCCCAGGCGATAGAGAGTGCTCAAAGGGATGAGTCGCAGCAGATCCAAGCCCTGGTAGACAACAAGGAGGAGGGGCCTTGGTCTGTCAGGATTTAGGCTTTGGGGTTTTCAGGTTCCTGCATTAGGAATCAGGGTTTGGGGCTGAGGTTAGGAATTAGGGGTCGAGGGTTTTTCGGGTTCGTTTTTTGCGCTTGCGTTAGGATTTAGGTGTAGGGTTTGAGCCTTGGTTGTTTTGCGGGTTATGTTTTTTCGGATGCTGGGTCTAGTTTTTCCTGTGCAAGGTGCGGTTCTGCATGACTTGAGCGAACTAATGGAAGTTTTTGCTATTGGAACTTGGAGTGGTGGCTTCCGGATTCCGAAATGCAGCTTCGTGTGGCAAGGAACCCTGGAACGCCCTAGCCCGAGCTGTAAAGGGCTGCAGCGTGACTGGTGATTGTTCTAAATTCGAGGTCCACTTGTGGCGAACCGTTGTAATTTGTGCACGTGTGAAGTAGCATGTTGTGTGGTGACGTTGTGGCACAAGTGCTCTAACAGGAAAAAGGTAGATGCCCAATGGTATACTGCTGTGCTTGTTAACACTTGGACGGGTATATACAACAGTGCGTGTGTGCAGTGGTTTACAATAACAACTATAGGTTATCAGCCGTATAGCCTACGGCCTGGTCACAACTGGTTGGTTACAATACAATCAATCAGCGCATGAGCGAACCGGAACTTATTCCTGCAAGTATGGATACAGTTACAAGCACCGTGAACCCTTTACAGCCCCCGGTCACGGGTGGCCATACAGGGAGCGGCGCCCCCGGCTTAGTTTTCCCGGCACCAGCCTCAGTCCAACAATTCAACGTCTTCGCACCACAGTATAGTGTCGAAGTACACGTTAACCAGATCAGACTGGAAGTCGGAGAACTAGAGGCTCAGGCAGAAGCTAGACACAGGCAACACATGCTGACCTATCAAGAAGCATCCGCAATTCACACAGCTGACTTGGAGCACAGAGCAGAACGAAACCACCTTGAAGTGGTGGCAGAATTGCAAGCAGCCTTGGCACAAAGCGAGTTCAAGGCGGCAAATCGCGAAAGGCTCCTGTTGTCGGAAATGACTTTAAGTCAGGCGCATTCCTATGACGAAGATCAAAGGTTGCGTCAAGAGCTAGCGGAACTTCAACAAAGCCGAATCACAGACGCATTGGATCAACATCTGGCGGAATCACGCTTTGCACAGAACCTCGAAGAACAGGCGAGAAGGCACGTCGAGAATTCCCAGGAAGTCATGGTTGAACAGTTCCAAGCACACTTCGAGTTGTTTAGGAACAGGCAGAAAGAAGAGTATGAGGCGTCCCTTGCTGTATGTAGAGAACAGAACGAAGAGCTTCAGGACAGGTTGGATTCTGCGGAAACTGCACTAGAGAAGGTCTTGGATCAGTACAATCCAGCTACTCCAAAGAGTCAGCCAGTGCCTGCTCCAAGCACCCCTGCAGGTCCCTCTGTTGTCCCCAAAGCTCCTCAAGCGCCCATGTTCTCAATGCCGAACGTAATCCCCCAAGGTGCCAGATGTCTGTTCGAGTCAATGAATCCAGGAGGTTTGAATGCTCAGTCCATTCCGTCTGCAACAGCATCTTCAATCCCCAAGGCAGGACCTTCCCAGGCAGCGCCAGGAACAGCGGCCCCTCCAGCGGCCGATTCCGGCACGCCAGGGACGGAGGCTTTCAACACAGGTCTCCTAGAGACCCAAATGGCAATTCTTCAAAGCCTAAGAACCATAAGGGGTGAGAGCAAAGTCGATGCTGACAAACCCAAAGTGAAAGAAGCAGAGTCCATCAGCCTTCCGGAATTCCCAAGTCCAGAGTCGTATCGTTCATGGAAAACGGCAGCTAGGGAAGCGGTCAGGGCAGCATCAGATTCTCCTGATGAGGCGTTTAAATGGGTGATGAAGGCCTACGACAAAGACGCATCGCAGGAATCCCTTCGAGACCCTGAGAAATTCCTCACCCTTGACACGAAACTTCTTGCTGCACTCACCAAAGTCGCTAGGGGAGAACTCTCCCGAGAAATCCTCATTTTTAAGGAGACAGAAGCGGCGAAATTCAGGGCGGTACGAGGACGACAGGTGCTCTACCTCTTCGATCAGTACTTCAAGACGAACGAGGAGGTTGGCTCACTGTACTCCGTGGAGGACCTGCTGAAAGTAAGGTTAATCAATGACGACCTTTCAGTGTTCATTAGCAACTGGGAATCTGTCATGTCTGGACTTAGCCACACACCGGACGAAACGACCCTAAGAGACATTTTCCTTCGTGAACTCAGGCAGTCCAAGAGGCTAAAGTACGATCTTGAGATTTACGACAGGGCATCAGAGGGCACGGATCAGCACACGTACAGGTTTCTTGTGAAGTCACTTAAGGATCTTTTGACCCGAGAGCGCAAACGCAAGAACCGTGACCGCATCGCAAGATCTCACGGAGATAAGTACGGTGCCCCTGCCTCAAAGTCTCCTGGCCGAACTTCCAGCCCCTCTTCAAGAGGAGGCCGTGGCAGATCGCAGAGCCCAAGGCCAAGATCACCCAGCAAAGGTAGATCCCAGTCTCCCAGCAAGCCTAGGACACCTAGCCCAAAGGGAGTATGCTACGATTTCCTCAAAGGAACTTGCAAGCGAGGCAATAACTGCCCTTTCCTTCACAAGAAGAGATCATTGTCCCCCAAAGGCGACAAACAGAAGAAGAAAATCAACGTGACATGCAAGTTCTGGAAAGAAGGCAACTGCAACAAGGGTGACAAATGTCGGTTCCAGCATAAGGATATAGAGAAGCCGTCAGCTCCCGCACCCAAGTCCGAAGCCGCCCCGGCAGCTCCAAAGCCAGGGTCACCCAGGGCCAACTCTCCTGCTCCGCGCAGAGGGAGAAGTCCCAGGGCTAAGTCAAGTGACAAGGCCCCAAAGACGGCCGCATGCGCCATCGCGTTCGAGAATACAGCGGATCTTGAGATCACGCCAAAGCTCGCTATGGCAGCGTCACATGACGAGGACTACTGGGAGGTAGACTTCACCGGCAACAAAATCATCCGCCATCACAAGAAGTACCGAACGGATTGGTATGTTCCTGACAATTCATGTCCTGTGAACCCCAAGAAGCTTAGGAGCCAAGCCAAGCTCGAGCAGGTTTTGCCGGTCTCCCCGTTTGTTGGAAACAAGATCTACAACTGGAGGAAGACCCCAACCAAAGGACCCGGCAGCACATGGGTAGGAAAGACGATCTTCTACATGCAAGAACTCCCTAAGGTGAGTTTCGACAGCACAGTAGAAATGATTGCCATCGAGCCGGAAGGAAAGCAGAGAAAGCATGCCTACCTTCCCAGGGTTTATGATGAAGTCTATCCCACTGTCGAGAAATGTCCACGCTCGAATCCTAAGGATCTGAAGAGGGCTCTTGTGTGGGCAAAGCAGTTTGCCACCATGATCGAATGCATGGTTCACGACACGCCTGCGGGATGCGGGTATGAATGCATGGAGGAAGGCTTCCTCTGCGAGGAGTGCGAGCGACTTGCACGTCCGTCATGTGCAGGTCTGGTCCCCGGCTTAGAATTCCTAGCGGATACCGGAAGTGAAGAGGACCTCATCAGCAAGTCGGACTGCAGAACTCACTTCCCCGACGTACCCATAGAACCCGCCTCACGTCCTGTCTCTCTGATCACCGCCAATGGGCCGGTAAAAGGTAATGAAGCCGTTAAGCTTGAGGTCCCTGAAATCAACAAAATCCTCGAATGCTACGTGCTAGATTCAACGCCGCCGGTGTGCTCTGTTGGTAGGAGATGTATGGACGAGGGTTTTGATTTCCATTGGTACGCAGGGAAGACGCCTTACTTCGTGACACCCGAAGGCCGGAAACTTTACTGCAAGCTGCGCGGGCGAGTCCCGGTAATTGGGGATGGTACAATCGCTGTTCCCGCCAAGGATGAGAAGGCGGCTCATTCGCCAGTCATCCAGGCAACGTCGGGTTTTCCCCGTTCAGCGGCCTACTAAGGCACGCCAATGCAGCAGAATCCGAGCCGGAAGGCGAATCCTCGGGCAGTGGCCTCGACCCCAGGATCGAAAAAGCACTGAAAGAGGCTGCTCCGTTAGGCATAAAGGCGGAGTACTTGAACAAACCAGGTTGGGTTTCGCATCCTTCCTTTCCACAGATGATCGTGGGGCACTTTCCCAAAACCTTTAGAACGCCTGCTACAAGGTTTCCAAAGCATGTCATCCGGAGTACTTGGACTTATGTCAAGAAATGGCAGGAGATCGAAAAGGACGTGGATGTAAGGACGTTGGACAATCGGGTAGCCAAGCTCCCTTCTGATGCCTGCATTCTCAGTGTAACGATCTTTAAAAGACCTGTTGATGACCCCGAGCCGGAGCCTGACAGCGAAAGAGAAGCTGAAGCTGACCCAAAGGACGAAAAACGTTCAGCCCAGCTCAAGCTGCAGGCCAACAGCCCGGAGCACAAATTCACCCACCGTCCTAAGAACCCTTTCTGCAAGGTATGCCAAAAGGCCAAAATGCTAGCGCCGCATGCCAGAAAGCGAGGGGGGAGCTCCACTATCTTTTCGAAGAAGTTCGGAGACCACGTGACAATTGATCACATTGTGACCAAGGACTTGCGTGATTTTGGGATCGAAGGTGAGAAAGTTGCTCTTGTGGTTAAGGACGTGTTCACTAACTTTCGTTATGTGTACCCTGCAGGTACGAAGGAGTCGGAAGAGGTTTATGATTGCCTGTTGCACTACTTCACTGTAGATGATGAACCAGGGATCATTTACTCCGACAACGCCCCCGAACTCAAGAATGCTACTGGAAAATACAAAGTTCGTCACAACACCTCACGACCTTACGTCGATGAGAGCAAGTCTGTTGTTGAGAGAGAGATCCGAACTGTGCTCGAGGGCACACGGGCGAACTTGCTGCAGGCAGGACTTCCAACGAAGCTCTGGCCCTTAGCTGCTCAACATCACACTATGGCTCTAAACTTGTCCAAAAGGATGGACACCGCGAAGATCCCATGGGACGAAAGGTTCGGTGAAGGGTTTAGCGGT